AACAAAAAAAACTATGTAATAAGAATGTACGAATTAAATCAGGAATAATATGAATTACAAATGTGGATATTACAAGGGCAACGATACACAAACAGCAGGTGCAAAGTCCTCAGAAACATGAGCTTATATTTCCTGAAAATCATAGAATAATAAGTTCAATGACGTTCAAGCAATATAAGAGAAGGACCGTAATGACCACAATTCAAATGAGATCTAGTCCCGAACTGCAAGCAACTTCACGTCACTCTATGTTAAAATTTGTTAAACATTTTGAATCTTAAAATAAATGTAAATTGTTAAAATCTTATGTGTAATTACTAAAATTTAAATACATCTTCGACTGAACTACTTGGAATTGAGCCGGTGACACGTAATATTAATATTGAAAATAAATATTTCACCTTCGTATATGTTTAAGTTCAAAAACATTTCTTTCCTGTATATATAATTTGAAAATCGGAGCTGCCTGGTTATTCCACCGAACTCTTCAATTTCTAAATAAAGTCCCTTGGCAGCTCACTTGCATGCTTTGAATATTGTATAGGCTCTGTCACTACCATTATGTTTAGGTATTTCATACAAATATAGACTATCTTATAGAATGCTCGATTTCAGCATAAAGCAACCGAAATTTGTTAAATTGTCGATACAAGACTTTTCATATTATACATACATCTTATAAAATACTTTGGTTAACCCATTAGCGCCCGAATTTTTTTTTTTTTTAATTTTCAATAAATTATTGTTAAGAACTTCTAAAAATACACTCCTATTAATATAAAATTGTTTTTTTTTTTTTTTTAATTCATAGTTTTCGAGATATTTGCCGTTGCCATATGGCAACGCTGGGCATTTATCCTACCAATTTTATAACTTTTTTCACAAAATATAACTTGTATAAAATTATAAATAATTATCAAACACAATAAAATTCAAGCATAATCTGTATATTTTATAATTTTTTTTTTACTAGTTAGGAAATAAATGTTGAGTAAATATAAAAAAAAATGTTCTTAGACTTATACAAAAAAATTTTTTTTTATTATTTTATAAATATAAATCATTGGGAATGAAAAGGCTTAAAACAATTAATACATAACCCAACAGAGCATTTTGAACACATTGTTCGTACAGTTGAGTTGCAATTTTTTCCGGCACATCTTTTTCTTTTTTTTTTCTTCTGTATGTTGTACCAAGTGATCAGTTTTATCATACCGTAATGTATCTGATATACGAGAGTCTGTCGAACAAATTGATTTTGATATTCGTCCTGATCCTGTGGGAGTATTTTTGTATTTTTCTAAATAAACATTTACTACTTCTCTTCTAAATTCAAGTTGAGAAATTTTTTGGTTTCCCTGTTTTATTGTATAAAATCCAACTGTTTTGCATTGCTATATCAAACATCCATGTCACTAGAGGCCAATACCATTTTTTCCCACGAACTCCAATGCGGTAACATCCAAGATTTTGATCCATTTGGTCAGTACCTCCCATGTATGTGTTATATTTTGCAATTAAGCTTGGTCTTTGAACCAAAATATTTGTTTTTTTTTGTTGAGAATACCTTTTTACATGACTTATTTCTTTTGTACCACATGAAGTTGATATCATTGTTACCACAGCGTTGTCCATCCATCGAACATACAAAAGACCATCATTTTTATCCATGGCTGTTTCAAAGTAACCGCGTTCTTTTTTTTGCAAATAATTTTTTATTTTGTAAAGGACAGTCTTTTTGAATTCTATTTTCACGTATAGTTCCTATTGCTGAATATCCACAATATTTTAAAAAAGAATGGAGATTTTTACCGGAAAATAAATTGTCCATGTAAAAAGAATAACTTAATTGCCTCTTTTCTTCAGGAATTTCATCTATAAGAACTAATAAAGGACTTGCAGCTTTACCAAATAATTGTTCGTAAACAGTGTTAGCTTTTGGACTTTTGCCTTGATAAAGTTCAAAATTGACTAAATATCCATCTTATGTGTTCAGGCACCATACCTTGTATCCAAATCTAATCGGTTTCCCACGTATGAATTGTTTGCAACTATGTCGCCCAAAATATTTGACCATACTTTCATCGTAAGCAAGATGTTGTTCAGGAATAAAATTATCAATACATTTTTTTTTTAACATCTCCATAATTGGGCGTATTTTCCACGCTTTGTCATTTTGATTGATATCAATGTTATTAGCAAGATGCAAAAATCGACAAATCTGCAAAAATCTATTTCGTCGCATTGATTCAGATACAGCAACGTTTTTTCATATCAGTTTTTGAATCCCAATAATGTCGTTTCGAAGGCAAATTATTATATCCACTAACATATAGTATCGCAATAAAACAACGAATTTCTTCTGCTGTTATGTTAGGATCTGGGCAGTTTAAAAATAATGCATACCGTCTAGTTTCTACAACTAAGTGTTCAATAATTTCCGTATCAATAAATTTTTCAAAAATTTCGATAGCAGACAAACTTTTATATCTAGAGTAATCTGGTTTGGGAAATGAAGCGGGTCTTTCGATATCAAAATCTGCTCCCTTTTCCCAGCGAGATATTTGTTTGGATTTTTTTCTAGCCTCTAACCACTTTCGGTGTTTTTCAGGTGTTAAAACCAATGTTTCAAAAGACGGTGATCTACGAGTAGAAATTGAAGTAGAAGAAATGCCTACAGGTTGAATTAGTTCATTATTAAAGTTGCCTACTCTTTCTTTGTTACCTAGTCGAATTTCAGCGTTTGCCGTCAATTGTCGAGATGATAGATTATCAACTAAACTATAAAAAATACGGGATTAATTTACAAAATATAAAAAATGTCTAATTATAGTATATTTTATCTTACCCACTCCCATCTTCATCTCCTGAATCTTCATCAGTATCGACACTAGGATTAGGTGGTTCAATGAAAATATCACCCTCCATCTCATCATTGTTTAATAATATATCTAATGCTTCAGAAAGCGAAAGACCAGGTCTATGAAGATGAAAAAAAAAATAATGACGATTTATGTATTGAAACGCCTAGCGTTGCCATATGGCAACACCAAAACATAGATGACTATAACTATTTTCAATATAATCAAAATATTTTCAAACTATCAAGAAATTGTTTTTAGAATGTCTTATAAGTAAATAATCAATATACCGTAACTTAAAAATATATCTACATATGCTGAAATCTACTTACTCGAAGCGAAGATCCATTTTTTCATCAATTATAATATTCGTAAAAATAAAAACGTGCTTCTGAGAAAACAACGCATGATAAACTGATTTTATTTGTTGGATCACAAACTAGACATGTTATTACATCGATATACATCCTTTGTTACAATTCCGATAACGATAGTATACGCGGAAAGAAAGTTATAAATAGAGTCTATACACGTTGTCATATGAACACGCTGGGCGCTAATGGGTTAAAATTATCGATGTTGATATTACTATAATAATTACTATATATATTTATATATATATATTATAATTGAAATAATAGTTTAATGTCGATATGCGTTTTAAATATATTGAGCACGTTA